AGAAAGGAGGCTACCAGAGTAGTTCCTGTGGTGTGAACCTCTAACTGCAGTACTCCAGAGAAAGGCCAGGAGGGGAGGCCAGGCTGGGACACAACAGTGTCTCAAAAACAAAAGAATAAAGAGGGGAAGGAGGACTTGGAGGCTAAAAATGCAGCTCAGTGGGAGAGCGCTTGCCTAGCACATGTGTGGCCCTGTGCCTGATACCAGCACTGCAGGGAGAGAGGGAGGAGAAAAGGAAGGAAAGATAGAGGCTTAGATTGTCAGGAGAGCATTTGTATCTGTCCAACAGAAACATCCAAGGCACATTTTCACTCGTGAATTATAAGACTCCATATTATAATTACACCTTTATAAGTCTGACCAACATCAGTCTAAACCCTAAGAATCTAATTATGGATTTGGTGACCTCATAAAAACTAGGTCAGCACATGCAAGGATGAGGCCGAGACCTTGAACTAAAAGCAGCAAGGCCTTTCTACAGACAACTTTTATAGTCAGCAGGCAAACTTAACCTTGGTTATCAAAGCTCCACAGAGGTGGATGGTTTTGGTGGATAAGCCATGAACTCTCACCACTATGAGTTTAGGAGATGATGACAAAGCAGTCATACCCCACAAACAAGCACTTAGAAACAAGCACTGCTCACAGAATGACTACTTCTTGTTTTGTTTTGAGACAGGGTCTCATGTAGCCCAGAGCGGTCTTAAACTCACTATGTAACCAGAGAGGACCTTGAACTCCTGATCAGAAAAGAGGCTCTGCCTGCTGTACTGTAGCTCCAGCTGTGTGCCATGATGCCAGGTTTAAACTTTATATACCACTCACCCCGTCTTGGGGCATTGCTAGAGCTACTCTAAGTGGTTTTAAACCACTTCCATTTTTAAGGGGGCATTAAATGGTGGCACTGTCATTTTAGAAAGACCCCTATCTCCCACCTCCTCCCCCGACTCCACACAGAAAATGCCTGTGCTACCAGAAATTATCAAAGTTACACTACTTTACTGATGCTCAGGTAAAGGGAGTTGTTGTATGGACCTGTCCTCCGCCTGGCCAAGCCTGACTGGCAAGCAGTAGACGGATGGCTCCCTCCTAACCTGGGGGTTCACCCACTTGCCCTGATCATCACAAACGAACTTTCCATGGAGGAGAGGGGCAGAGAGAGGCAGTCATGCTTCCCACCCAACCAGCTGGCCTGAGTGGTACATGGGGAAGCCAGAGAGAGGGGGTGGCTTTCACCATCTTGGGAGGTCACAGGGTCATCGCCTCAAAGGAGAGGGGAGCCCACACTTCTGTAACTCACCCCCTCACCCACTGCTCTGTATGAAGTCCAATAAACTCTTCAGTTCCCCAAACTGTAATTTGAAGAAATTATACCCCATTTTGTCCTAAGGGCGGGGTGGAAGGAGGGGGCCAAATGAATGGCAGTATTCCCAAGCAGCTTCATTTATGGATCCCAAAATGTGAATTTCATGTAATTTCTGCATACTACAAAATTTTTTTTCAACTATTTAAAAAATTTAAAGTCCTTTTCACCCCCAGAGGGCCATATCAAAACAAAACAAAACAAAAACCAAAGTGGCTCACCTGATCTGGCCTTGGGCATAGTTTGTAGTTTCTGATCTAGATTACCAAAATCCTGTCAACAAAGAATTTTGGCTTCCCCACAGGACCTCCAAGAACAAATGTCTACGGCAGACTCCACTTCTTTCTATCCCAGAATGCTACAATATGTCTTAGAAATGCCTAAGTATCTAACACACCAAAATGGTAGGTTTAACTAGCTATTAAAGGATAACGTGGACCTTCTCCACTCATTAACATTCTCTTTTTCAAAGAAAGGTAGCACTCTGTAGTCCATAAAGCACAGGGCGGGTGGGTCAACTGACAGACCACTGCAGTTTCTAAAAACTAACAAACCTACAGCCCCTAATCTCATGAGCAGAGAGGAAGAGAAGGGAGGGGGGAGGGGGAAGAGGGGAGAGGGAGGAGGGGGAGGAGGAGGAGGAGGAGGAGGAGGAGGAGGATTTTACCTCCTCCTAAGTTCTTTCATAAAGGATGCTTCTTCACCAATACATTTCCCAGGAAAGAGACAACATAATGACAAAAGCAGCTTAAGGGCCGACAAGGCAGGCTCAGCAGGCAGGTGAAGGTCTTGCCCCGCATTCCTGGCAACCCAAGTTCAGTCCCCAGAAAACCTACATAAAGCACTGTAGCACATATGCCCACACACCACATCATGCAAGTACACACATACACACAGTAATATTTTTTAAGCTGCTTAAATGTCCTTTACTGGGAAAAGCAGATAAGAACTAAACACAGAACCTAACAGCTCAAACTTTACAGCCACCAGTCTGGATTCTTCAAGAAATATCTTTGGCTAGTTTTATTTTATTACATATTCAGAAACCAACTTCTTTTGCTGTGGCTTAAAAAAAAAATCACAACCTAATGTTTAATTTCTAGCACATAACTGTCATAAGAAGTGTTATTACAGAATTCACTTAAGTTCTTAGGACAGTGCCAATAAAAAGAATCATTTCCTCTAAGTTGGAAGAATTAGTTAGACAAAGGAACAAGGACACGGCCCAACATGTGAGGGCCACAGCGAACCAACCTACGAGCACTGAAGTCTGTAGAGGACAGTCTCACACATCTGTACCTGCTGTCCAACCATGTCTTAGAGCCACAGAAATTCAAAGACTATGGAGAACAAAAATTCAGCTATTTGAGGAACCATCTAATCCCAGAAATTAGACTTCAACATGAAATGACTCTTCAAAGTTTTTGTTTAACAGAATCATCTCTGGCTAAGTTGTATTTTCATATTTGTTGTGTATGTGTCACAATGCAATCCAGACTGCACTAGCTCCAGATGCTGTGCAGAACAAGCCCTAAAGGGCCAAACACTACCAGGCTGATGAATGCTCAGACTTCTGCCTAAAGACCTTCACTTGAAGGATTTCATCATCTGTAAGACTGCTTCCCAGTCTATAAACCATGACTCTCCTTCCCTACAGTCACAGTCTGTAGCATGAACTACCCTGTAGAACCTTCCTGACACAGGAATCAAGATTCTAAGAAGAAAACATTTACACAGAATGAAAGAGAGTATGGATGTCACTGAAACAAGAAGGACCAAACAATCGAGTCTCTGTGGCTTTGGGGTCTGGGCCATCTAGGCCTCGATTCACTTAGCCAAGGGTCTGGCACATGAATCAGTCCAGCAGCTGACAGTGATGAGGAAGGGCTGTCCAAGCCCAGGGTAATTCTAAAAGGCTTTCAGACAGCTACTTAACATGTGTCTTATGGGCTTTATTTAAATTTGATGCGAAGGCCACAAAAATAGTTCTTTCAAGCTTCTAAATCTCCCTTTTGATCTGTCAATCTTGAGAAAAGAAAAAGAAGCTACGGGAAAAGTGGAGTCTTTGTCACAGAGACTAACACACAATTCTGAACACATACAGTTCTCCAGAATAGAAATCTGTTTCCAAGTAGTCTTAGACTAGTGGCAAAGTGCAACCCGAGGTAGGCTAAAGAAGACATTGCCTGATTCTCAGCAGGGCAGACACAGCATAGACATCTCAATTTCAAGGAAAAACAAACTGAAAAGAGCTGACGTCATTTCCCAATAACTCTAGCTCTTCTGCAAAATAGAATGGCCTACCTTCCCACAAGCTGAGGTGGAACTCAGCAAAAAGATACATGAACTGTGGGCCAAGGAAAACAATCAATTCCAAAATCAGGTAACAGAAACCTGGTTTCTGTCTACCAGTGTAGGGATGGTGTTAAGATATTGTTCCAGGCCAGCTGGGGCTACAGGCAGACCCTGCCTCAAAAAGACGGAAAAAAAAAGTACAGCACATGATGGCACACACCTTTAATCTCAGTACTTGAGAAGCAGATGCACGTCAGACTGCTGTGTAAAAATCTTGCTTGCTCAGTACCCCCCTTTCATATGCTCAAGGGATGGCTGTACCACCTTCCCTTAACTACCTGCAGGCATTACCAAGCTCACATCCACATTCCCTGTCCCTGCTTCCTTGTTCTCCAAAGTACTCACCATAAACTGACACAGATTTTTCCCTTAACCCTTAAAAGGTTTACCTCCCTCCCAAATGTTCCTCAGTAAGACTGGGACATCACTGCTGCATCAGCATGCCCTCCACCACCAGGCCTCTGTTTATTGAAGGAACCAAGGAATTTCTACTCAAAACTGTGTGACAATAAACCAGGCATGGCGGTGTAGGCCTATCATTCTAACGCTCAGACGGTGGAGGTGGTAGGGCCAGAAGTTCAAGGCCATCAGCTACACTGTGGGTTCAAGGCCAGTGGGAGGAGTCTGAAACTCTGGCTCAAAAAAAAAAACCATGTGCAACAAAAAAAGTTTTCTATTAATTAAGTGGGTCAGCAGATGCTTCTAGAACTAAAGAAGGGGCACAAGGTTAGGCTCTGAGGGGATAGAAGGGAACATGTATACTAGATTTTCTTAAGACTGAAAGGCTCACCACCAGCCTTGCGTGGAAAGGGGAAAGGCAGCAATTTTGAAACTCCTTAAGATTCCTAACCAAAAACCCACTATGTTACCTATAATTTTTGTGTCTAGCCACACCCTGGTAGAAAACAACTAGTCTAAGGAATCTGTGAAGTCAAATCTAAACATAACCCAACTAATCATTACTACACATATTTTTGCTCTTTAAGGGCTGGGAAGGAATTCCAACAGGAATGTTTGATAACGATAACTTCATACTTCAAATGCACAAACTCTATTCAGGGACTAAAGAAAGCTTGGATCATCAAATGATCGAAATGTTTTGTTTTACAAAACAAAGCAGAGTGCCTTCCAAATTCACCAAGAGGTTTAAAATAGCTTGTTTGGAACCAGGAGACAATCTGACATGTTTCAAGTTACCCTAAATTGACATTCTCCCTTTTTTAATGTACATTTTTTAAAAAGTTAAAACCAAAGAGACAGAAAATTAACGTTTTCTGTTTACCTTGGGTTTTGGCCCCGGGTTCTGCCAATCCTAGTGATGAGTCACAAGATTCCTTGAGAGGCGATCTAACTGGAGTTTCAGCTTCTGGGGTCTCAAAATTACCTTCAGAATCCGAGCTGCCAAGGGGAAAAACGAGGCATTACCACATTCAACGGTACTTCTGACACCCTTTAAAATGTACTTTGCACAAGGTGCAGGTCCAGCACTTTGGTCTAACTTTACAAATCGATCATTATATAGCCTGGCCTGCGGGAGGCTGCTGCAGTTGGTTAGGGATGCCCTCTTGGGTTTCTCAGTCTCCCTGTACCGTCCTGTGGAGATTTTCTCCATTTATTTTTCAGGTCACCTCTGCCTTTCACACCCGGGCGGGGGGGGGGGGGATCCCTTTGCAACCTTTTCTCGAAAAACCTTTCCAGATGCTTAAGAGGTATGACTACTGCCCCACCCGCAGACTAAGCCAGTTCTAGCCAGGCCTTTTTTTTTGGTGGACTTCTACCTGCCTTAAAGCCACCCGGTGGGAGGCTGAAAATGCTGTCACCTGCCCTCTGCAATCACTCGCGTGACAGCTCGGCAGGGCCTACCATTTCCTAGCAGCTGCCAGCCTGGCGTCACGCGAACGTCTCTGCTACATGTTGGGGCCCTGTGGGGCCAAGGGGACGCTGTCCTCCCCTCCAGGAAGGTACAAATGCCAGCAGGGGGTAACGGACGCGACCCGCGGGGCTGTGCCCGGGCGACCCGCGGGGACGGCAGCGCAGAGAGGCACAGGAACCCAGGCACAGAGACCCGGCACAGGGATCCAGGTATAGGGATTCAGACACAGGGATGCGCAGACCCAGACACAGGGACCCAGACACAGGGACCTCGGCACAGGGATCCATGTACAGGGACGTGCAGACCCAGGCACTGGGACCCAGACACAAGGGTGCGCAGACCCAGGTACCGGGACCCAGACACGGATGCGCAGACCCAGGCACTGGGACCCAGGTACAGGGATGGGCAGACCAGGCCCAGGGATCAGGCCCTGGGACTCAGGCTCGTGGATGCGCAGAATGCGGACTCGCAGCCAAGGGCGTACGACAGCGCACGGCGACCGGCACCCGCAGGGCGGCGCGGACGGGCTCGGGGGCCGCTCGTTCGCACACTGCGGTTGGGGCGCGGATGGACCGGCCGCGGTGCGGATGGACCGGCCGCGGTCCGCACGGCTGGGAGGCGGGTACTTGCCTGAATCCCAGGGACCTGGTCTCGGTGGGCGAGTCCTCCTCCTCGGGGTCGCCCTCCGGCCCGGCGGCCTCGCCGTCGCCCGCGCCCGCGCCGCGCACCGCGGACCACGTCCACTTGGCCCACTGCACGGGGGACAGGATCTGCCAGGGGCTGAACGCCATGAGCGCGGAGCCGCCCCTCAGGAGCGACCGGCCGCCTCTTCCTTTCAAAATGGAAGGGCCGTGACGGGCGCCGGGTCGTGTCCCCCGAGCCGCGGATGAGCCTCCACGAGTGCCGTCCGGCCGGGCGCAGCGTTTCCTCCCACGGCCGCAGCGCCGCCCGTCCCCGCCGCTGAGCGCGCTCCCGCGTCCCCCGCCCCCGCTGCTGTGGCGCCGCTCAGCTCGGCTCCGCTCGGCTCCGCTCGGGTTTGCTCGCGCTGGCGGCTCCGCCCCTGGAACCGCCTCTCGGATTCAACTACCGGCGCCAGCGCCCGGCCCCTGGAGCCCCGCCGGCTACTTCCGTTTCCCAAGCCGCGCTTTTTTCCTTTTAGGTGTTCATCTGGCCACTCGGATGTCAGGGCGTGCGTGACGTTGTCCCCTAATTTAAAATAAAATAAAAACCGAAGCCTAAAGGCTACTGCGCCCTTCCGAACCCTGACGGTGTGGACGCCGGAAGCCTGGCCCCAGCCCCTGACTCCAGAAGGGGAAGGCCCGCAGCCGAGCTGGGCTTTAAGACACACACACAGGATACAGTCTGCCTGCTTCCCGTTCTTTGTTTTAAGGCTTTCTTTACATAATTTCTAGGTCTTTGATTTCTGGTTTGCCGCCTCCGTACAAAGCCAGAATGACATGACGGCAGCCTTCAGAATAAAATATCGTTATCTTTTTTTTCTCCCCCTTCATCTTCCTTTGAGGGACTCCGTGCAAGGACTGCACTCGTGCGCCCGGTCCGAGGGAATCAGGTGCTTCCAACGCCAGGCTTTAAGGATCTCGGTGTTTCTGGTACTATGTCATTTCTCGGAGTTGTAGAGAATCTGTGATGTAGCTGCAATTCCCACAGAAAGAGCTCCAAAATTTGGAGACAAGGTCACACGCTGAAACTTGCAAGACACTGATCATCTTCCTTGAAAGAAGTTGGCATCATGTATACTGCTGATGAATCATGAATGTCGTACACACTGGACAACAAAGACGGACAGGTATCCTACTCTAATGAAAGGCAGAAGGATGCTATAGAATTCATTCCAGCTTCTTGCCAGAGATAAGTACAACTGTCATGAGTTCCTAAGACTTGAGGGGGAGATCATTTTGTTTTACATCTAGCCCACAAGGAATGCCAGTACTAGCCAGATGTTGTTATCTTGAATTTATGCTCACCAAGCAAATCTTCAGATTAAAGCCCCTTGGGTTCTTGGATTTGACGAGTATTTTGTTGCCCGAAAATGACAGTGCTCTTTATAAACCACTATCTGGTTCTGATCATGTTTCTTCGGAAAGTTCTAGAATCTTTTACTTTCTTTCCATTCTGGTCATGGACTTACAAGGTTCCCACACTCCCCATTTTTCTTAGATCTACTTTTTTTCAGATGCTCCCCTGGGGCCTTTCTCCCCTGGCTCATCCCTGCCTGGCTGATCCTGCCTCCCTGACCCTTTACTACTCCTAGCCACTGTCAGCAGAGAACTGGATCTAACTTTTAACATGCCCAAGAATCACCCAGGAGAGCATAAAAAACACAACTCCAGGCTGGGGGTGTACCTCAGAGGGAGCATGCCCACGATTCGAAGCTCCATTCTGAGCCCCAAGCAAGGGATAGAGGAGTGAGGTGCAGAGGTTTCTGGAGAGCTGCATGTTTATTGAGTGTCTTTGAGGAATGTCAAAGAGGAAACTTGGCAAATAGAACTTAAAACAAATAACTGCTCTTGCTTCCAGAAGAATCTGTGCAGAGCTGTATACATTCCTGGAATATGCCTTTTCTACTCACACCCCAAGTTCTCCCAAACTTTTCTCATCACTCAGCTCAAGGGATTACTATTGGAAAGGAGACTGGTCTCGCTCTACTGTCCACCCCTTTTTATACCTGAACCTTCACAGAGCTTGCTACTGTGGCCCTCCATTCAGGCCATCTCAGGATGTGAAGTCATGCTACACTCAGCACAGTATGTCTTTGCACATACCCATCCTACATTTGGACCACAAGATTCCAAAGATCAGAGATAATATAATTATGATGCAAGACCACACACTCAATAGATGGTCAATAAATCATGAAAAATGAACATACTAATTTCCATTTGTCTTTGCAAGTTTGGCTAGGGTGACATCAATTCTTAAAGCCAGGCTCCTGGGGAAACCAGGTCTCAAATGGGCAAAGAACACAAGCAGGTCTGGAAATGGCCCAGTGTGAGAAGACCTGCCTTGTGCAGCAGCATTCTGAAATGAGAGAAGCAGATGCCAAGTGCGGAAAGGTCAGTTTTCCTCAAGTCTTGGACTTAGAGTGAAGAGCCATAAGTAACTCACTCCGTAGCCTGCACTGATTTACTTTTCAGGAGTAGAACAAGGCTGATTATCTGTTTTCCTGTAATTCTGGAAAAGCTAAACCATAATGTTGTTGCTGTCCTCTGTTTCCCTGAGCAGAATATCGGTGAATATATACCCAAGTAGCCAAGTGATGCCTCTTAATCTTGTAAATGACCTTAAACTAAGAAAGGGCCCCTTCTTACTCTTCTCCTTAGCTGCTTATCTTTCCCAGAAACTGTGGATCAATACCCCAGGGAGATCTAAACCATGATTCCCTGGGGCTGGAGATGTAGCTTTGTGGTGGAGCAAGTGCTTAGTATGCATGAGGCTCTGGGTTCAGTTCCCACCAAACAAAAATAACTCCTTTGAAGCATCCCACAAATGTGGCCAGGCTAAGCATGCAGTCTGCAGCTAACCCATGCTACAGAGGGGTCTCTTGATAAAGATTAAATAAACTACATGAACAAGCAAATTCTGACTGCCAAAGACGTTTCTTGCCCTAACTCTTCTTAGGCACCACTAAGCCTCATTATAGCCCAACTTAAAACTTTAGTCTTTGTTCTCCTAGAATCAAGAATCTTGCAGGTTCAGTTTCGTGAGACTCTCCACCCTCATTCTCTTAACACTGACCTGCCTTCAATAAGAATCTTGTCAAGTGGGTTTATCCAGAAGCATCCTATACACCTGGAGCTTCCTCTTAGTAATTTTTCATCTGCTGACCTCCAACGCAGATCTCTGGCTATAAATACCCGCTGCTCTTTGTATTTGGAGTTGAACCACACCTTTTCCCATTTCTTCAAAATTTCAGTACAGTAATGCCTTCTTAAATGAAGTCTTCCTTGTTTACAGAGTCATGACAGACCTTGCTTTCATGAGGCAAACCACTGTTTAGTAGCAGAGCCACTGTGAGAATGCCAGGGGGAATGGGGTGGGAGGAGAGGGGCAGGCAAGGTGGGACCTCCCTGCTGACTCCCCTACATATATACACCTGCTACAAGTTAGAACTTGCTCCTGGAGTAAGGGGAGCGGGCACAAGTGCCTACCCAGCTCGTCAAAGGGAGTGAATAAGCCTGGGAAGCTCTGGCAATTCCTGCTGCCCAGTGCCACCATCTAACCATCTTTCATGCAATACCTAATCTTGTATCTTATAGGCAATCTTCCAATATCATAAATGTTCTTCCCTGTATTAACTATTTAACTCTGATGGAGTTGCAGGGCCAACCAAAGTCACGTGTCCACCTTCTTGGCTCATGGAGCCTGAACAGGCAAAGAGTATTCACACTTTGAAGCAAAGAAGTAATGACTTCATTTAGAAAGATCATAGATCCTTCTGGCAACAACTTGGAGGCTTAGATGGAAGAACTCAAGACTGGAAGACCCAGGAAACTTTATTTTCTTTGCAAGGATAGCTAGCATCTCTCAAAGTTAGAAGCAAGATTGGAATTTGTGTTCATTTCGTTTTGTCAGTCCACTTGTTCAGTGAGTAGCAGAGCTGTAAATAGTCCCAGCACACAGTGGACACTACCACAGTGGAAGGAAGCCAAACACACTTGTTGGCCATTCAGGAAACAAGATGGCATTATATGAAATGATGTTGAGGATGTTGTGGGCTGCTTCACCAGAGAAGACCACTCAGACAAAGTTTTGCTGAATGAAAGTCATTGCTGGCCAGGGCTACCACACAAGGGAGTCAGAACCCAAGTGTGCAGCCCCGAGCCATCTCCAGGGTGAGCTTTTATACAAAGAAACCATAACCAGGGGTTAAAGTTTAAGTTCCCAAACTTACAGATGGACAGCCCCCTTTAACAATTTCTATTCTATTAAGTACTATTTTGCAGAAGCAAGCCAAGCATAACCTACAGCAGCCATAAATCTGCAGTTAGTAGGTGCTCTCCAGGACACTCTGACCTGTTCCTGAGACAACTGGGGTCCAGCTGACATGTGTTCCCATACCCTGGGCCAACTGCTTGATAATTTCAGAGACTAGAGTCAGCCTAACTTTAACATGGTGTAGCTGCGGTCAAGAAGGTGCCCTATTACAAGGATGTAAAGGAAGCAAGGAAAGAGAGCGGGGCCCGGGTGGCACACAGGAATTTCAAACAATTTACATCTGTTTTCAGGGTCTCTCTTATACTGTAGCTCAGGCTGGCCTGAACTCAAGGCAATCCTCTTGAGTGTTGGAATGACAAGAGTATGCTACTGTGCCCAGCTACAATTTAAGAATTTAGGGCTGGAGAGATTGCTTAGTGATTAAGAGCACTGGCTGTTTTTGTAGAAGACCCAGGTTTGAATCCCAGCACCCGCCTGGCAGCTAACAACCATCTGTAACTCCAGTTCCAGAGGTTCTGACACCCTCTTCTGTTCTCCATGGACACTGCATGACACAGGCGCACTTACACACACGCAGGCATAACATCCATACACATAAAATTTAAAAGTAAATAAAAAATTTAATGAACAAAATAAATAATTCAACTAAGATTAAATACCAGATTGAAGGCTGGGAATATAGTTCAGTGAGGGCACTTGCCTAATATGCTCAAGGCCCCAAGTTCAATCCCCAGCACTGTAAAGAGTAAATAAAAATAAACAGTGGTTAAGAACACTGGTTGTTCATGTAGAAGAACTGGGTTTGAAACCCAGCACCCACATGACAGCTAACAACTGTAACTCCAGTTCTAGGGGGCCCGACAGCCTCTTCTGTCTTTTGTGGGCATTGCATGACATGGGTGCACTTACCTACATGCAGGTAATACATGTGTACACTAAAAAATAATAAAATATTTTTTTAAAAAAGAGAAAGAGCCGGGAGTGGTGGCACACACCTGTAGTCCCAGCACTTGGGAGGCAGAGGCAGGTGGATCTCTGTGAGTTCAAGGCCAGCCTGGTCTACATAGTGA